ATATATAATATGTAGATTGATAAAAACAAATTGATTTTAACTACAAGTAGTGGCAAGTTTAGTTTGTCCTCATTATTGCAATGATTTATTATCTAACATTTTTTTAAAAAAGACAGTGTGAGTTTCGCTACACCTTATTTACAGCAGTTTTAAAAAGCAAACTTTCTGACAATAAGCTCTCATCGTACCTTGAACTGTCTTTTTATTACCCGAGAGAAAAAAGATTTAGACTACATGTTGATACGGTTTGGATTAATCAAAGCTTTCACATTATGGATGAATAATTTGCAACCTGGGCGACTACATTGGGACACTCAGCTGTTTGCAAATGTGCAAAGATTGATTTGTATCTTTAACTAGCATAACTTTCTGATGTATTCATATAAATCACACACTTAAGCACTCTGTCGGTAGTCCCTTCACAATCATTGCGATTGATTTAGCCTCGTGTTCGCTGGTTGGCTGTCGTCCTTGCCGGTGGTTTTTCCGGGTCTTTATCTATGTCGCAATTCACCGCATCCTGCATTTGAATGCCACCAAAGTCAAAACGGGCCAAGGCTCTTTTAATGCGGACCAAATGTTAACTCATCACAATGCTATCTCCTCTGCAACCACCCATACTTGACCCTGAAACTTATTTCACTAAGGTGGTACAAAATACAGAGGAAGAGTGAAACGCCAATTTTAATATAACACGAGGTATGTGAAACTCTCGGTTAACTTACTTGTCAGTAGCTATGGCAACATGTCACTTAAGTATCATGACCATAAGGCTAAGTGTAAGAACATGCGATGCAATTTCACGAGGGCCACTCTGCCTCTGAATGCACTGCCTCACGCAGACGTCTTAGGCTGGCTTCTCTTGAAGAATGTAGCCACTGAACTGGACATACATACATTCCACTGGCCGCTAAGTTTCTGCCCAAAAGACTGTCGAGTTCTGGTCGCACTCGACTGTCCCCAAGCCACTTGTCTTAGAAGGCTTGGTCATAACAGAACATGGTCAAATTTGTATTCTCGGGCCCGTATAGGCCACGTTTACAGCAATGTGGAGGTTTTGTCTGCTCCATTGTGGCTGTCTGCCCTGCTGCGTGGGGCAAGAATTCATTTTACTTGAAAAGTAAGAAAGTTTTGTCTTTCATATTTGAATTTCCATGGCAAAGTCTGTATTGTCCCCCAAAACAATCAGGCTTACAGTTTTGTGGTCTTCTAAGAGGATACACCTGTCACTTTGCAGGCAAGATGACGACAGCAATGACAGTATAATCAACATAAATGTTTGTCTTTGTAAGGCGTTGTTGAGGGCTGTCGTTTATTGGCCGAGACTGTCCAATGAAAACAAGATGAGAGATTTTTTTCTTTATCATCATGATAGTGGTTACAGCTCAGTGTTTTAGCCTCAGTTCGTTTGGATGAATCTTCCAAAACCAAAACAAAAAAAAAAAAAAAAGAAAAAAAAGTTGCTGCAGCCAACCGTAGCAACGTTCTCTACACGACGTATTCCATTTTCTGAAGTAAAATAAGTCAGAGGCAGCGGGAAAAGATGTAAAAATGTACGGCGTCTGAAGATAAAGTGATGAATATGGACGTGATCCTTCAATGTGAGTCTGCATGTTGGTGTGTCACTAAGGCACAGCGGATCTTTTTTGGTTTTCAGGGCAGTCCGGAGGAGACCACTGCAAGGCCAGGGTGTCGGAGGGTGGCGTGACCAGTGTGCACAGCTTTAGGGCAGTCTGGCGTTAGAACGCGGCCGTTTTCCCCCACACTTCCTGTGATGGACAGACGGGCCTTGTTTCGCATGGCTTCAGAAAAAGACAGCTAGGTGAGGAAGAACAGAAAAGAAGTTGGTCAAATTATGCATGGGGGAAAAAAAAACACAAAAACTGTACCATAAATGCACCATTTCTTTCAAAACATGTATGCATGCATTTGACATAATCATGCATGGGTCTTCACACATATTACTTGGAACGCACAAAAGTTGGAAAGGTGCAGTCACAACAAGTCGCCTCGGCTAAACACGGTTTGACTTCATATGCCTTAAGTGTGTGTGATAGTTATTTTATGGTTTAAGAGTGGTAAAGCAGTCCTGACGTTGAAGTAATGCAAAGGACTGCTGTGTCCTCCATCCTCGCTCACACTCAATCCTGTCATAAAAATATTTCGAAAATGTTTTTTTTCTGGTGTTTGAAATCAAATGTGGACTCATTTGTAGTGATACTTAATTGAGACGGATTATTTTGTGTTTGAAAAGCACCGAGCTTCGTAAAGCATTTGGGGGGGTTAAAAAAAAAAAATTCAGAATTCCTGGTGTGAATGAACCCCCAAACCATGGATCACACAGAAGGGCAATCACGACATTAAATGTTCACACGGGCAAAAGGTAAAAGCAGGAAACAAATCAACAAACGCAAGATTTATGTTGTAGACATCTGCATTTTAGAGTGACCATGCTTTTTTTGGGTGAGGTGGGGGAGGTTGAAGTGATTCCATAGCTGGGCAGAATATAATTTAAAAGGGATCATTTTTGGGAAGGTGAGGATTCGAGAAACATCAAGGGAAAACAGGAAAATGACATTTTGTTTTGTGTTGAGGATTCGGATTTATAGAGAGGGAGTAAGTGACTATACTGCTCGGAGTAGGGGGGCACACTTCACACGGACAGGCTACTCCATGATGTTTTTACATATGCTATGTTTCAAATTAGGCAGCTTACATTTATTAAATCAGCGTGTTTATTTTTCAGATTCATTTGACGCCATTTAATTGGCCTTTTTCAACATCATTAAGTAACTGTGCTACATGAAGTGTTTGTTGATCAGTTTTTCCCCTCCAGCGACGCTGGGCCACTTTGACGTTGTCAGGCCCCGATTTGGCGAAAGCACCTCTCAAGTCCATCTGCAACAGGGATGCACAGCTCCACTATACAATATGAACGCCGAACCTGAGTAACTGAAGGTTTGGTTGAATGCGGATCACAACTCCTGTATGTTGTCATGATGTGTAAACATTCCCCTTCTGACTTGGTTGTTCTTAGGTAGTTTTCAGGTTTTCACATAGTGAAACTCGTGGATCGTGTGGAATTGTTTTGAATGTGAAGGATCTCTCACGTGGACTTCCTTGGTGTATCACATTACTGCTGGAAGTGAGAAAATAACTGATGAAAGCTGGTGTCGACGCTGAACATAATTAATTTGTAGCTGGAAGCTGTCATATTTGAATGAGAAAATCTGTGTGAAACAGTTCAGATCCGTCCAACACCTTTAACGTGTTGTGTATCGAAACAATACAGTGTCACAGCATGTTAGGTTAACCGAAGACACCAAATTATCTATCAGTGTGACGTACTTGTGTCATCTAACTTTCTTTGATTTGTCGTGAGATATATTTACATGCATTTTTTTCCATGATAATCACATTTCTTCACTGACCGCTTGGAAGAAATATCATGATTTTACTGCCATCTAGTGGTGTAGTTAGAGTCAATTTCAACTTTATTATGGTTCCTTGCCCTTGCTGTGAAATAAAAACATCCCCTTCCATTGTACAAGACGATCATCTTCAATGATTTTGTTGTTCACACAAAACAGCATGTGTGGATGGAGTTGTGCATCCCTGCTCCATTGTTTTTTTTAAAAATTATTACCGAAGAATACAATGCAGTTGTCTAGTTATGTCTATATTAGCTATGAGCATCACCATCACTGGCATGTCATCATCTATCCATCCTTAATAGTATTGCAGCCAAAGATGGTGGAACCAAATCTAGCAGAAGGATAACAACAAAAGAAATGTACCTAAAATTGTAGGCCGGTAATAAACAAATGGCCAAAACAAAGTTTCATTAAAAACAAACAAACAAACAAAAAAATCACCTTTGATTCCACAATGCTTGACCGCACGTACTCATGAGCATGAACATAAACAACAAACTCCAGCATCACCATGATGACCACCACCACCACCATCATGACCCCACCTAGACGGACGGCAGCCTCTAAATCCTACCCCTAGATCTTGACCCCCTCGGAGCCGTACACGTTGTACCCCTCCCTATAAGTGGCTAGATTCTGGGTGCTTGGGGAGGGGCTGGGGCAGTGGGGGGGACTAAGGTCCACCTTCATGCGTTTGGCTTCGGCCCGCGACTTGTAGCAGAACTCGACCAGCGCCACAAGCATGGCGAGGCCCAGGCCGCCCACGAGGATGTAGAAGACCCCGGCCACGTTAGACAGGCTCAGGGCCTGAGACGACTTGTCCTGTGGAGCGCAGGGGGGTGGGGGGCAGGGAGGCGGCGGGGTTGTGTTGGGCAAGGGGGTGAGGCAGAAGCCAACGGGGAATGTTGTCGATGGTTATCAGAATGCAAGAAAGTCAAAGAAGGAAAAAACAACAAATACGAGTGAGTGAAGAGAATCAAGGTGAGATGGAGAGAGTGACAAAAAAAAATAAAGAGGAGAACAGCGGCGGGGAGAAGAGAGACAAGATGGTACAGGAGGGTTAGACACATTCAGTAGTGATTGAATTCAGTTCATTTCATTGCGATTGGGTCAATATGGCATCATCAAGTCATGCATCTGGAATGATTGTGCACAATTTGCTGAATCATGACGAATTCTAACTACATTCTATGTCTACAATGACCGTTAATACTTTCACTGATCCGACCACTTCTACAGTGTATACTTGTACACATCCAATGTGTCATTGTGTCAGAGAATCTGAAATTAACCGTCTTTCAAATGGATCAATGTTGTCAATGAAGAAATTTCTCTTCACTCGCAAAAACAATCAAAGCAGCTTGCATCTTTTATGGTTTAGCTCAGTGGAATGTTATCTTTATGTATGATATGCTTATATTCTATCCTTTGGGTCAATCAATTTGCCCAAAATTTCCTCGAGGAAACAAACATTTAGGGTTGACAGTGATATTTAAGAAATTGTTTCAAGCATCAAATTGTTTACATACATACAAAAAAAAAATCTGAGCAATTGTCATTTTGGCTGCTGGTTTATGAGACAAGAGCAGTTTTTCAAATCGGATTTTAGGAGTCCTCTTTTAGATGTACATGCACAGTATTTGTTTCACTTCAAAATAAACATTGGAACACAATTGACTGTGTTTATACGGGAAATAACCTGTCAAGACAACAGTAGTTTTTCAAATCGGATTTTAGGAGTCACAATTGACTGTGTTTATACGGGAAATAACCTGTCAAGTTTTACCTTTCCAAATATGACAATGACATGGACATGACCATAGTCGAATAATAATCGGTGGTGCAGTCACCATTGTATCTTTGAAGCCAAATGCAATGGAAATGAGTTTGCCACAGATTGCTACAGAAACTGAAGAGAAAGTGACTACCGGTATCTGTTTTGAGAAATTTGATGCGTTTTGTTAAATGTGATTCGGCATCATATACAATGACATTTCCAAATGTATCTTTGTTTTTTTTCCCTTGATGTAAGCACCACATGCACCACACACACACACACACACACACACACACGGCGTTTCGCTAAATGTGACTCGCCATCATATACAATGACATTCTAAATGTATCTTTTTTTTCCCCTGATGCAAGCATCACACACACACACACACACACACACACACACACACACACACACACACACAGATATAAAAGTGTTGCTATGACAGTAGTTGCAGTAATCTGGAGCATGTTGAGGATGAAAGTTTTAGGCTAGCATTCTGGGCTGTGACAGCGTGAGACTGACCTTACTTCCAGAGTCCTTGGGTCCACATTCTCCCTTGTCATACCACCATTTGTTTTTCAGTTTGTCTAAGACGCCCGCTTCGCTCAGTTTCAAAACGGCAAGGTTTACCGGGATTCTTTGCGTGTAAAAATAACATAAATAACATCATAGGTCATGTTATTTTATGTTATTAAAAGTCTTTCACATATGCATTGCACAGCTCAGGTCACAACGTTAGCAAATACTTCATCAAGTGACCTAGCGTGGATCCCACTGAGTACATGTGTGTATACTCGTTGAGGAGGGGCTGGGGGAGAGGAGCTCTGCGAGCTACAGACATATGAGTGGGACCCACCTTTGTCACTTCACATAAGGCAACCATACTACCCCAGATGTTTTTTTTTAATTTTTTTTTGCAAATACTGTCCGGACAGGAATATTGACCCCCAGAGGCATTGGTAGCTCTCTGCTATGGCTGGGAGAGACCGTGATACTGGAACGTATGGCATGCCATGCTTATACTTGCAAGTCTTTTTACTCCATTGTGGCATTGAACAATAAATTTGTTAAACAGCACATCAGGTATGCATTGCCTTCGCCTTGTGGCGGTGTCAAATAATTGACCGCTGTCAAAGGAACTCAATGAAATACTTGGTAGTTCAGCATTTCACACCTCGACAAATTTAACAGAACAATTTCACTGTTGTACTATTATAATAATATCACATCATACTGTAATGATTCCGCTATTGAGGATTTTGACTCCCCCCACCCTTCCCCCTTTATTTTATTTATTTTTTAATTTTCACATCTAAAGCTTGGAGTGTATTGTGTCATGTCTGTATCACCCTCACGCCTTGTATTGAAGGACTCCAACTGCTGTCACGCCTCTCGCTCATGATCATAGTCGCTCTCGTTTTCATGGTTCCTTGTTTTCTAAGTATTTTAGTCATTTATTCTTGATTTTGGTTTCACTAAAAGCACCGAGCTTTGTCAGTCTGGTAGAAAAGATATTCGGTAGCTCCTTTTTAGGTGGCAACAATGCCACAGAAACATTCCTGCCCTGCGATTGGCTGGCAACCAGTTCAGGGTGTCCCCCTGATAGCTGGGATTGGCTCCAGCACCCCACGCGATCCTTGTGAGGAGAAAGCGGATCGGAAAATGGATGGATGAAAACATTCCTGCCTTTCTCTCTCCCCAGAGCTCCACTAGGGGGCGAACATTCCTGCCTTTCCAGTCCTTGGAGATTGTCGTCTTAAATCCATTCAATTGAGAACATCCACACCACCTTGGCTCTTTACTTTCAGAAACAAGTGTCAAATCTGTAGGTGTTGGTAGAATCGGTGAAAGTTTATAGCCATCTGATAAAGTGTATTTTGAGAGAAATGTTTATCTTTTAATATGCTCAAGTGGTGTACCGGTGTCAAAGGCTCTGAACCTTTTCATGTGGAAAAGGGGCACACTGTTGACAACAGCTGCAACCAAAGCAGAAGGTTTTCTCAGGAGGTTTTGAACATGACTTTTTCCCTTTGCCAACACTCTTCACCAGGGTAGATGCTTGCATTACTGCAGGATGGGGGCCATCTTAGGCTCCCCAGCCTGCGATTGACCCCCGTTCCCTCATGGTGGGAGGGCAGACAGAGAGGGCTAACCTTGGAATCCCCTCCCCCGCTGCCACATTCTCCTTTGTCATACCACCACTTGTTTTTCAATTTGTCCAACAGGCCCTGCTCGTTGAGCTTTAGCACGGCCAGGTTGACCGCATTTCTTTAAAGTAAAAAAAAGGAGGAGGGGGCGGGAGAGGGGGACATAAGATAGTTTGGTCAGAGCAAAAGATAGGAAAGACAGTCAAGCTGGAAGGGCACCAGTGCCAGGTGGAAGAAGGTGAGGGATATGGGAGCAAAGGGAGGACAACTAAGAGGTGGTGGAAGGAAGATGGAAAGCACCCCAGAAAAAAAATCTCTTTAACTCTTATACTCTCTTCCTAAAAATGCGTTTTTTTGCAAATGCTATCTGGATAAACTCTACAAGAGGTTTCACCCAGTGCCAAATTGCTGATGTACAGTGTTAACCAGGGCTGTAGCCTGCTGATGGAGCTCCTGTCCCATTGTGCAGCTTCACTGCCCTCCAGCTAGTCTCAATTTGTATGTGCGTGCGTGTGTGTGTGTGTGTGTGTGTGTGTGTGTGTGTGTGTGTGTGTGTGTGTGTGTGTGTGTGTGTGTGTAAATCCACATTCCCGCAAGCTTCCTATCACACCCCTGAAGGGATTGTGACCTCCAAACAAAATTCAAAATTCAGGGACATAGTCTGAGTTTTGGATTTTAAAATGGGTCTCAAAGTGGAAGTTTTTGAAAAGTACTCTGTTGTTATCTTCAAGTACTGAACATCGTAGCCTTTTCATACCTATGAGAACCTTTAAAAAAATGCAAACAAAAACCTTCCTGATTTTATTTTATAATTAAATAAGAATGTCAAGAATTAAACAGTTTGTGCATTAAAATTCATTCAATGCGGCTTTTACTGGCATCCACGATTTTGGCTCAGGGGCAGTTTGCATTCTTTGTTGACTTTGGGCTAAACAATCTGTCGTAAGGCAAAGCTATGAGGTTGCATTAAATCGACATGCAATTCTCTCAGTGGGAGTGGCAAGAAACATTCTATTAACTAACCATTGTATGTTGAAAGAAGGAGTGAGGTGGCCGAGAACAAAAATCTTGTGAGGGGGTGGTGAAGATCAGAACAAAACATTTGTCCATGCTATACCAGTCGCAACTGCTAACGTTTCGGAATTGCTTTGCGTGCCGCACGGTGGAGCAGGAGCGACCCCAAGGATTTGGGGGCCCCTTGAAAAACACCCATGACCTCTGCTGCAAATTGAAAATACTATTTTCTTGGGCCTGTCAGGCATGGGTCCTTAGAGTCATTGTCACTTTTCTTTTTCCCCACTTTTGGCAGTCCTGTAGTGGAGCATGTGGCTACCATGTCTGAATCACAGCCAGAAGTTCTGAGTTCAAATCTCATCTTGAGCCTTTCTCTGCTGAGTTACAGTGCTGCATAGCTAGAACACTATAAAAGGGATGGCTGCTTGGAGGGATTGCTATGTGAATTTTGTATATCTGTCAAACTGGAGCTCATCATCTTAAGTGAGAAGATGCAATGGGCAACAATTGGTAAAAAATCCCCATTCATAATTAGATTTTTTTTTTTAATGGCATAATTATTGTGTTGTCTGTGTTCATTTGGAAGGGAGGATTTTGCACAAGTAAAGAGAGTTCAGAGATATTGATCAAGACAGTGTTCTCTGGGGTGATCTAATCTACAAGCAATGATGAGATCGGTGGTTCTTAACCTGGGTTCGATCGAACCCTAGGGGTTCGGTGAATCGGTCTCAGTGGTTCGACGGAGCCTCTGCCATGGAGGGTAAGACACACGCGCGACTCAACATGTCAATTAGTTATAACACGCCCGCTTGGTCATCGCTTGCCGCAGATGATCACATGACATTGCTTGTCCAATCAGTGCTGTGGGAAATTTAGTTCGCTTTGTAGTCAACGTGTGACTGTTGGGATAGGACGGCGTACAATTAAAAAAAAGAAAATAAAGTATACTTATGTCTTTAAATTTTATTTACTTTTTTCTGCTTTTGATAAATGCCTTTTTTTATATCTTGAATTTTTCACCAAGGGCTCGGTGAATGCGCATATTAACTGGTTGGGTTCGGTACCTCTAAGAAGGTTAAGAACCACCCACCGGCTTAGATGATTAGCGCAATGGATGAAAAACAGGTCATAAACAGTCACATTTCATTATTTAAAGCTAAACTTCAAAATGCAATGACTATAATCATCAGAGAACATTTTTCCTCAGCAATATGACACTATGAGGAGAGGCAGCCTCACATTCATAGAATATTATTAACCCTCGCCACTGGTATTTGAGGGACTTCTTTACACCGCTCATGGGGAAAGTTCAAGGACAGGCATGTTGCTTTGCTTTTTGTACAAGTTGAGGAAAAGATTTGAAAGAGAGAAATGGAATTGTCTGATTCGTTATTTCCTCTCAGCAGACAACTATCACACTGGGAAAGCACTGCAATAATATGTGTCAAATAAACAAAAAAACAAACCCTAACACAATTATGACTTGAATTGCCTAAGTCAATTGCTGGAAAATGTATCCACACTGCAAGGAAAGAAGGGTTAAGCGTTTTTGTTTGGTCAAGTTTAAGTCCCCCATTAGTCAGGCCCCTCTGCTCAGCGCCTTTTATTGCTGTTTCCTATAATTTCCCCTTGTGGGTGTGGATGCAGTGTCTGTAGCCTGAGGTGATTGCCCCTCCTCACAGTTATGTCATCGATCTGCCTCGTCATCATTATAACGATCATCACTACAAATGCCTCTGTTTCAAAGTAACACAGACGCAAGACAGCAGACACATGGACAGTGTTACCTGGAAGGTGACCCTGTGAAGAAACGAGTGTAAAGGAGGAGCAACATAAAGTGCCACGGGACATAACGATGGCCAAAAATATAAGTGACAAAGAGAAACACACAATGAGACAAACTAAGAAATTAAGACTCAAGGTGATCAAGAGGAGATATGATGATGTCTACACATTTAAACATGTCACGATAATTGCTGCTGGGTGAAAACTTATTATTTTTTAATTATATCTATTAATTTTTTTGGGAGGAATAGTGGCATTGTGTTGATTTGTGGCATCCAAAGGATGGGGCACGTCATCATAGTGTAGGTAAAAAAAAAAAAAAAAAATCAATGGTCACTAAATTTTTGTTTTATTTGTGGATAAGAAGTTTCCTCCGGGCAGCAATGACAGAAATTATTGTATAAAAGGCACAGCAGGGTAGGTGGAATATCGCAGCAATAGCACAGTATCACTCTTGTGACTGTTTCCTATTGTTACACTATTCCACCTACCTTAACTGTGAGCCTTTGGGTGTAGCAATTCCGTATCCTTTGGAGTCCAGGTTGCCCCCGACTTTCATGGTGTCGCAAGGCTTGCGTTGCTCCGTGTACTCATTCATGGTGGACTCCAAGAGGAAGGCGTATTTCCCTTTGGACTTGCGCACCCTCGCCACACCTTCCGCAGTGGTTTTGGTGAAGACAGTTGGCTCGGCTGACTTCATGTATGACCACATCTTCTCATATACGGCTATTTTGGACCTCTGGGTAGAAGAGAGATGGGGGAGAACACAACGGCATTTAATTCATGTCGACAACAATTGAATATTTAATGATAGAGTGAGTTGTGTCAGTTTGCTCGATGTTTTACAGAAGAGAACGATTGGAATTAGCAACAGTAGATTTAAAGTTAACATTTCAGACGCAACCGTGCTTCATACAAGGAAGGCTCCTCCCTCTCTCTCTTTCTAGAATATTCTTGAACTTGTCAGTAATTCTTTGACAACTCTGGTATATGTGAGATGGCGCAACGGTGGTCGACTGCGAAGCACGTCCGTCTCACAGTGCACAGTGCAGAGGTGCAGGGTTTGATTCCCGCTCCGGCCTTCCTCTATGGAGTTTGCATGTTCTCCCTGTGTGCCTGCGTGGGTTTTCTCCGGGTACTCCGGTTTACTCCGAGATTCCAAAAAGATGCATGGCAGGTTAATGGAACACGAAACTCTTTGACAAGAACATGGCAAGGCAGGTGGGGTTGCCTTAAAAAAAAACCTTATTTTAGTTATTACCTGTGCGGATTATTTAGGAATATCCAAAAGTCACCACAAATTTGATACCACATTCGTATTGTATCGGATTACACATGTGCAAGTGATATAATGTGTGTGTTGGTGAAGTTGATGCGGCGATGATGACTGCGCAAATAAATTGAAGCCAGGAGGGGGAAGATGTGTGACAATGTGGTGTGTCTCTTTCCACATTCTTGAACAATGAGTGAGGCGGTGAAGGAGGAAATGGATGCTGGAATTCACCTTCAAGCATCCGCACTTTGAAAAACATTTAATTACACACCGACACACAAATGGGCTCAGAGGAGGGGATGCTCATGCACATACACTCACATGCATCCATAGGCCTATGAATATGCTCATGTGCACTCATTCATACACACACATGTAGTCACACAAACAGACAGATAATTAATGGTGGTGGTGAATCCCCCTCAGCTGTGGGGGAGTAAATTGCTTTTTCACCCTCCACAGATTTCAGCCTGCTCGTTATGTTGATGATGCCAGAGCTGTTCAAGGAAGCACAAACTGTCTGCTCTGATAGCACCCCGCCAATCCCCGCACATCCAAGCGGCTACCCGGCATCCTCACTACAGCTCACATCTTTTAAATCTATTATTTGGTGTATAAGCGCACACAATGAGCGCAAGATTCTTTGGAATACTACAGAGCATGAGCACATGTGACAGAACACAGTTAGTGTTCCCCTGGAGACTCCGCTAAAATGATCATTGCCAGCAAGCTGTGAGTGAGTGAAACCAAACTTGGGCTTCTCTCAGTCACTCAACTTCATGCCGCCACTCTCTACCATGCCCTGTTCACTCTTATCATTTCTCCACAAAGGGTAAAGTGCTAAGTGCACTTGCCCACAATTTTATGACTTTTGACTGTGTACATCACATATTTCCACTGAATTTTGTGGAGGCTTGGGCGTGGGCCAAGCAACATCCATCCATCGATCCATTTTCCTAATCCGCTTATCCTCACAAGGGTTGCGAGCGTGCTGGATTTCATCCCAGCTGCCTTCGGGTAGTAAGCGGAGTACACCCTGAACCGATTGCCGGCCAATCGCAGGGCACAAAGACACGAACAACCATCCGCGCTCACAATCACACCTAGGGACAATTTAGAGAGTTCAATCACCCTGCTGTGCATGTTTTTGGAACGTGGGAGGAAACCAGAGTACCTGGAGAAAACCCACGCAGGCACGGGGAGAACATGCGAACTGTACACAGGAAGGCCACAGCTGGAATCGAACCCTGCACTCGGCACTGTGAGGCAAATGTGCTAATCAGTCGCTCACTGTAATTGTTCAAAATGTAAAACCAGGCTCTATTCAGTCACTCTTTAATTTTCTACAGCTTATCATTCAGGGTGACTCATGAGCTGGAGCCGTTCCCGACTTACCTTTCTGTTAAATGTGGTCGCAGCTGTGTCAGAACATTGCTACTTCCTGTTCCCTTTCTAACGCATACAGTTCGGGTGGCTATTTGCGTGAATTGAAAAATAAAAAAATAGGAAATCAAAAGTGTGTCGTTTTGGTCACTCATTTACATGACAACAGCCTTTTAGAGAGAAGTCCTTTTCAAATAAGATTTCAAAATGGAAGTCTTTGAATGAGGAAGCGTGCCAGACCCTCACGATGTAGATATTGATGCAGTTTCACCAACTAAGTGTACACTACTCCCGTGAGTCTCATACTCAAACAAAACGAATGCCAAGATGAGTCTAACTAACATACATCGACTTTCTTTTGGATAAGGCTGTAAGAAAGGGCTTTTGGTGCACATGCATTTGATACTGGTGCCGTATGAAAATGTCTTCAGGTGTTTTTTTGCGTCATCCGTCAATGTGATGTCACGCTCCACTTTTTACTTCACTACTGTTCACTAACTGGCATGGTGGTGTGCTTCCCGCGTCTGTGTTGTGCTACTCAAGAGGAATAGTTCCTCCTCGTGTTCTATCAGCTGTGTCTGAGCTGGATCGTTACCTCGCCGTATTTAGTTTTTGTGTTTGAGTTAATTTTCCAATCCTTGCCACGATCAGGGTGACTCGTTTGTCAGTCAAACCAGACATCAGAGTTTCTACCCGTTATCTGATCCTGGATGTGCCGATTTGAGGAAATAAAACTTTTTTACTCTCCAGGTAGCACTCATAATATTTCCTCGAAGTTCCCTCCACGATTCGAGGCATCCAAGGTTTTATCTATAAGAGCCATAGTAAATAAGGCCACGGTGGTTTGTCGATAACCAGAAAGAAGCAGACGGTTTCATTGACACTTTAGCATCAATTTAGCTCCAAGCTAGGCACACTTCAGGACCATTTCAGCAAAGCTTTTTTCCCCCCACTGAGAATTCTGGAAATGGCCATCGATGTATTCTTCGCAGCACACACCAGGAGTGGAATAAATCAGTTTATACGCTCATTTGTTATCGTCCCGCCTGCAGTCAGAGCTGAATACTTTTGCTCTGCTTTGTGCACGACACTGCAAAGTCTGGAATGAGCTCGCTCTGTACAGGTACCATGCCTACTGCTGCTGCTTTCTCCAATGCTGCCGTTGAGTAGTGTGTTTGAAATAAAATCTTGCTTGGCATCATCACATAGCGTTGTTTTCTTTTGGAATAAATTTGTTGGGGTACACCGTAGTGTGTAGTTAGACACGCTGCCAGCCGAAGACTGGTGAAAATATGGTCAGAAAACCATAACACTATTTGAAAATAGGAAAGAAAGAACACCACCGTGTTGCTAATTTGTGGATGAATGTGGCAAACACAAGACAACATACCGTATTTTCCGGATTACAAGTCACGCTTTTTTTTTTTATAGTTTGGCCGGGGGTGCGATTTATACTCTGGAGCGATTTATGTGTGAAATTAGTAACACATGATTATGTCATTTCACATGTTATTTTCACATTAAACTACAAGAGGGCGCTCTCGGCCTGTTTTGATAAATCGACGATGAGTCTGACGTAAGCGACGTAGAAGAAGAAGAAGCGGCGCATCGTCTACCTCCAGAGTTGGGGGAGTTGTTTAAAAGTGACACAGAGAATGAAGATTTCATTGGATTTAGTGATTTGTACTAGTGAAACTGATAGTTTGGTAAACGTGTTAGCATGTTCTTTATGCTAGAGTTATCTGAATAACTCTTAATATGTTATGTCGTTACTGACATTACCAGGCATGTCAGTCATGTAACGTTTGTATACCGTACACTTATTCAGCCTGTTCTCTATTTTATTTTTATTATAAATTGCCTTTCAAGATTACATGCATGTTTTTGGTGTTGGATTTTATCAAATAAATTTCCCCCCAAAAATGCGACTTATACTACAGTGCGACTTATATATGTTTTTTCCTTCTTAATTATGCATTTTTTGGCTGGTGCGATTTATAATCCGGAGCGACGTATAATCCGAAAAATACGGTACTTGGTGTTTCCAAAATAGAAGAGAGAATTGTGTTTTGGAATCACATTTAAATGTCAACGATCAAGTGGTTTAAGGCCGTACCCTGAAGAACTCTTTTGTAGAACCTGAGTCCAGTGTCCCATAGGCTATCTCTGTCTGTTTGGCCAAGTCCTCTGCACTCTCAATGGGGGAAACCATCCTCTCCACAGTCAGGAAAGCAGCGAGGTTGGCTGTGTAAGAGGAGATGATGATCAGGGTAAAGAACCACCACACACCTCCCACAATACGTCCAGACAGAGACCTGGAGAGAAGACAGATGGAGGTGGAGGAGGGAAAGAGAGAAAGGAAGTGTGGCGCAAAGGAAATGGAGTGGGAAGGGTGAGCGAGAGGAGGATGGGCGCAACAGAAGGAAAAGATTATCGGGAGGGAAGGTGGGGGGGGGGGGGTTGAGATGGATGTTTGCAAGCTGATGATGAAGGACCAAGGAAGTGTGAAGGTTAAGGGGATAATAAAAAAAAACAACCACAAAAAAAAAAAAATGAGAACGAGAGTGATGGGGATTAGCAGAGGAAAAAACAGAAAGGCTTAATTATTACTTTTTTTTTCCAAAACATTTTCACCAACTCTGCATGCATGACTGTGGGCGCAACATTATTGCCAAGAAAACCTCTTTCATCTCCACAACCAGCTCAGTATGCACCATAATAAAGACGTCATGCAACTGATTGTAATCTCAGTCCTCTTCGAACCCACACACTCTCGCTTTTCTCTTCCTCCATGTTTACGCTCTCGAGCTCGCAATTGAGAGCAAGTACATGAACCTAAGTGGTAATTCTCTTTTTGTTTGCATGAAACTGTTTTTTTTTATGTGTAAGGGGAGAGAGGGAGGTGTGAACACTGAACAAACCCGAGTTTCTTTCATTTAAAGGCCTTGGAATTGTGTGCATGAAAGGCCTCTGTAAAACTTGTACCCTTCACAAGCTGTCTACCCTCTGAGGGTCTCTCGACCATGGAAGCAGCAAACAAGGAAACATGCATCATTAATTTCATTGCTTCTTCCAAAGTTTAGCCAGTTTAAAAAATATTTTTGGCCGGGCACCATCTGACTTTTCAATTTAGCGCACCCAAAGGGGTAACGGTTGCTGCATCCCAGAATAAAAAACAGCCAGCTACACTACGGTTGTAGTGTTTGCAGTTGGATGACTTTCACATAAGCATGGGAAATATGGAGTTAAAATAAAATCTCAAGTTTTATTTTTTCACAAAAGACTGATTTCGGATTTTAGCTAAAAATGTTTCCACATTTGCAAATTTTGCTTTTTTTCCCCCCTCAATATGGTATTTGCTTCTTATGACACCAAACAAGCTTTCAAAATTTCTCCTCCCATAATTGAGTTGCATTTCCACACAAATAATATAATTAGCAGTGTTTTCTGATGTAGAATTTCACAGGTGAAGCAGGGCAACTGCGCAAAAATATTTGCAGGTTAGAAGTACATACAAATTTCCAATGTGGTGACAACCATCTACTTTTTTCAACATATAAATAGACCATCCTTTTGACAATGTTCAGTTGTGTCAGTTCCTTGGTGGGAATTCAACTAACAAGTAGCTTTTGTTTTAAAATAGTTGCATCAGCAGTTGGAAATGTTGCCAAGGTCAACCAAATTGCTAAATTGGCAACAGTGACTGTGCTTTTGCAAACCCGCTCGTCTATATTCATCGTGTTGTGTCAACATCAGCAGGGACTTGCTCTGAACTACGGAAACTGTTCAGAAGAGCCCCTTACATGACAGATGTTATACTGTCTCTGTCAGCAGGTGAATAAAACCTTCATGAATTAATCTGTGATTGTGTCAAGAGTTACGTAAAGCTCCGACAGCTTCCAAAGAGGATTCAGCCACCACAGACCTGCAGGAACTGTCTTTACCTGTCAAGTCCTTCAAAGACCACAACACATTTGATGACAAAAAAATCTCAGGCATCCAGAAGGGTCCCCATTTGGGGCCAACATCAGAAATGGATGCTTCGACTTACAATCCTAACATTTAAAAATGCTTCTCTATATTGGGACAGTAAAAATATCCTTTCGGAAAACAGATAAATGTCTTGTCTAGCAACGAATGCATTGCCCTTGACTTGTTTGTGTGTGCTGTCGGAGAGGAGGAGAACATGAAAAAAGAGGTGGTTATTAAACACTATTTGGCCTTGCACCAAGTTAGAGATGATGTGTGCCTCCTGGAGGTCGATGAAGAGTGCGTCATTCAGATAAGGCTGTGATGGAGCGTATGCTTGGATACATGGGATCGAGCGTCTGTGTGTGTGTGTGTGTGTGTGTGTGTGTGTGTGTGTGTTGCTGGGTGAGCAGAGTGAGTGAAGTCCTTGATTCCTCATGTGACACGAGTTTGAACACATTTATCTGATGCCGTGAAAGTCCGCGTTGGTATGCAACACGCAACTTATTCAACGGCGGGTCATGTATCATCTATGATAGCCAACAGATTGCCTTCCCAATCGCAGTGTGTGAAAGATTAATGGTACACCATCTTTCTTTCTTTCATTTTTTTGTTGTTATTCTCACATATTTTCCTGCATATGACACGTTTCGAGGGAACGGTGTTTCTTTGCATGCAACACAACAGCATTTTCAATCAACGTCCGGAACCAAACAATTTCAATTTTTGCACTGCTTGCATGGCCACCTTGATTCCTTCCATTTTGTTTATATTATTTTCCAACAGCCAACAGCGGCGTATTTATGTGTCTATCAATGCATTTCAAAAGTCTGTGGTCAAATTAACCTCCACAGACGTACGGCATCTTTGTAACAAATAGCAAGAGGGAAGAATTTGAAGATATATTGGCTGGCAACCGGTTCAGGGTGTCCCCCGCCTACTGCCCGAAGACGGCTGGATAGGCTCCAGCACGCCTCGGGACCCTTGTGAGGACAAAGTGTTTCAGAAAATGGATGGATGGATGGACTTGAAGATGTATGCCTACTCTTCCATCCACGGATATCAATATGCCAATAAACAAACCCTGATTAGTTAAAGAATATGCGTAGAGTATTGTAGTATTGTTAGTATGAACATTTCCAGCTATTTAAGCAGAAAATATCGAAACTTGTGTTGTATGCTGTACATGTTTGAGTTTTTATTTCAAAAAATATGTTATCGGTGCCTAATAAAGTCAGACACACGGGACGGGTTTGGGTCTAAAGAAGCATTAAAAACAAAACATATATGTAATCGGTGCCTAATAAAGTCAGACACACGGGACGTTTACAGGCTATCGGGTTTGGGTCTAAAGAAGCATTAAAAACAAAACAAAACTGAATGGAGATCTTCTCTGTAGGCCTGTCCAACTAATCGTACTGTCCATTGAATCGGGCGATATTAACTCAGAAAAAAATCTGTTGATTATTTGCTTTTTTTTCCTCCCCAACACATCAACACATTACAAAATACAACAGCCATAATGATGTGCAACCCCCCTACTCCTCAAAAAGAGCAAACATTTGATTTTTGCCAATGTTTCTCTCTGTTGAACAGTTAAAAAACACTGAAGGACAATGTATCAAAGTTGTGTGAAAAAAGGCAAATATTCTGCCTGCAATTCATATCTCTATTGTCTTTAGGGGACCCAAAACGTTTTTTTTTTTCGAATTAATCATCTTATTAATCGGTTACCTGAATTATTTTCTGGTTAATATCTAAAAAAAAAAAAAAAAAAAAATCCAAATCCAAACCGTCACCAAATTCTCCAGAATGCAAACAAGCACTTCTGAAAATCTCACAAATTAGCAGAGCATGTAGTCAGACGGCTACAATTACAGATGCGTTGCCATTAATTGTGTGATGCCACTCAGATGACCCCCCTGCCTCCCCCCAAAAAAAAAACCAAAAACAGAAAAACCCCTTTTGTTTGTGAACTGCTGTGAAATACAGTCTGTACAAGTGGATTTTAATTAGTGACCTTGTGACCAATCTGAGTTGGGAAGCTTCAGTGCACCACTGTAGTTGGTGAGTCATTCCATTAGATGGATCTGTTGCAATCATTAAGTATTCAGGCCACCTGGGGCCATTTACTCAATACATTACACACACACACACACACACACACACACACACACACACACACACACACACACACACATACACACACACACACACCCTGAGCTGTAGAAGCAGCCGCCGGCAGCAGCCAGCACGGAGGAGAGCTGTAATTTCAGATGTTTATTGACAAAGACATCCAATTCCTCCGAGATGTTTTCTTCTGATCGGTTTACTTCACTCTGCTGCACTCCGCCTCGACCCTCCTCCTCATCAGCATCACTTTCCTGCAATTTATGCTAACAATTGCAGTCCCATCACTCAACTGCCCATCATCGTTTTCACCGCACCTCTTCCGCAGTGACCTTGCCAATCAGTGACATTAACACCCGACAAGTCCCAACCTAAAGATGACAGGGGGGTGATGTAAATGTCTTATCAAGGTCACTCTGACAATACGGGCCATTGTGTGTTAATGCTTTCATGTATCCTGCCACTCACCGCTGTGCATGTGGACGCAAAGGCTCAGCAGTGTGCATTATGTGCCAAGACACAGACAGTTCTTGTCATGGGAAGTCAATTCATTAAGTCAAGGATTAGACAACGGATCAGCGTGAGCAGCCCTGAAAAGATCGGACGAAAGAAGATAAGGAAGTCTTATGGAGAGATTGGATGCGATGGAATGTAAAATTGGAAAGGTGAGATCGTTCCCAAAGATAGATGAATATAGATGGCGCAGGCTATAGAGTGAGAGTAAAAGACCTGAATAGGAGTGTAATAGTCTGACTGCAGAGATGACTGCAGCGGCAGGGAGCGAGGGGACGCAAGCCGCATACCAATCATGGCAACTCGATCCGCAACACACGCGGACGCTCGCTCACGCGCACGCGCCGGCGCGCATATATTCAAACAACACGTGTCACAGATTGTTTCCCCGAAGATGCTCGAGAAGTTTCCGAGAAAGAAATACGCTCTGTTTGAGAATGTACACCAGAAGGTCAGGAAATAGCTGAGCAGGCACGAGGCGTCTCATTGAATAAGGAATAGCTGATGATGTTTGCATTCAAGCAATGAAAACCTTTACCTTGGGAGGTCTTTCGCCATATTTGATTTAAAGCTCCAGCATAAATGGCAGCCTGAATATGCTGATCTCCGCCGACCTGCCAGATTAAGTGTCACAATGGTGATGGAGAGGATCAAACCCGAGAAAATACGGGCGGCTGGTGGTCGTCGTGGCAAGCTTGGAAAAAAAGTTCTTCTGCGCTCCCCTCTGACCTGCTTGTATATGAGCTGGGCAGTGGATGCTGTGGCGTGGTGAATATCTTGCTATCATGGAATGGATGCTACACGCCACTACTTGTTCAGAGGTCATGTGTTAGGTCATGTTTGTTTTTGATTGTGCATGTATTTGCAGCGTTAATGCAAATATTATTCAACGGGTTCCGAAATGTTACGGAGAGGCCAAGGCGTGGGGTTGAATAGCATCACATGCACAAATTTGTATTGGGCGATTCTTTCATTTTTAATTGACACAGTTACAAATTCATTTTCAAATCGATTAATCGACAACGAATTCATGGAGATTTGTTTTCTTTTTACAATCGAACCCTTGAAATTTTGAATTGTCCACATCCTCGGATTTCAGCTTTTCAACAGTAATTATTCGGATTTCTCTCGTCCTCCACGAAAGCAGACTGATTATGTTTGTGTTGAATCAAAATAAAAGATTCCCTTTTACTTTGGAAAACAATGAGCAACATTTTGTCTCTTTTCCATCATCTTACAAATCAAACCAATCACGGAATCATAATTAATTCGTTTCCGCATTTTCCACCAAGTCCATTTGAAATGTTGTGCTGTTTTTGAATAAAGGGATGGAAATGACAACTTTTTAAATCTGATTGACCAGTTAAGCAACAGCTGAATCAGTTATTGAGATCATCATTAGTTGCAGCCCGAGACAGTCAGTCTGCCCTTCGAAACAGGAAGTTCATCACAGACAGTCCGGCATCCGCAGTTGTTGCACTGCTCCTGTCGCTTAGCAACCATGAAATCGAGTGGGCAGTCATGACACGTTTGACTCGTTGCAAGTAAGGTTTTCCAAAGTCAGATTTAAACGAATCTAATTTTGATAAACTTGGTAACCCTGAAATTGTCAATACCGGAGATGGCAGCTGCCTTTTTATACAGACCCAGATCAAGATGATTAGATTATTTTGACGAATGCTTCAAAATAACCGGTGCAATTTTGGAGGGGGATTTGTTGCAGTTTTACTCGTCAGCTTTCTGGCAGCAATTGGAGTAGACAGACAAATTGCATTTTAACACCTCCTATGTTGACAACGAGGAGAGAGACAGAGGGATGAAGAAAGTTCACCATAAACCGAAAATGTCCTTCTTAACCAGTTGAACAGCCGTTTTCATATTCGTTCAGATGTTAATATCCTAATGACAGTTGCACATGTCGAATGCAAAAACCGCTCATATTTAAAGCATACATTTTAGCAGGGATTCTGTGTGAAAATTAACACAAAGTAATGTCGGAATATAAAAGAAGTGTATCTTTTTATTTAGATCGACAGTTGGTAATGACATGTAATAACAGTCGATGCTGATACAATTTTTCGCATGATGATGTTCTGGACCTCAGCTTAAAACATTCTCATGAACTAAACCTCTTTAAATTTCGAATTGACTAACCCGATTCGAGTCGGGATGCAGCCTCAAAATAAAACATTGTTCACAAAAATCCCACAAAAGCAAAGCAAATGACATGACATTATCCAAAACAAGTTTTGCTCTTTGGTTGTTCCCCACTTCTGGGATTTGTGATATTTCTCCTGATACCAAACAAGCTTTGAAACATTTTTTTTTAAACTTGCATCAACTTCTGCAAAAATAATATATATATATATTTTTTTATGGACAGATAATGTGAAAATAAGCTTATCCTCTTGGGAAAAGACGTCAACATGTAAACACCCGATTCAATGAACAGTTTCAGTGTTTAACTATTTGTACTGGCAGTGTTACGGTACATTCTGCTGCCTTGGAATGCAGATGCCTTGGGTTCACTTCATGACCAGTGGCCCCCTACCCTGCCACTGCAAAATCCTTGTTTAGATGGCTGATGAGAAACTAACTGCAGTCATGGAAAATATTCGATCTTCCTTCAGTTCCTCGTTGATTTTAATGCCTGGCACCAAGAAAGATGTGTCATGTGACTCCGAAACACAAAAGAAAACATGGAGTGCCTTTCGAGGTCCATAGATATCGATGTAAGAACTGAAAATATTTTGCTCCTTATCAAGAAAATCATGGAGCCCTCATGAGCTGTTTTTGTGGTTGTCGTTATATTTGTCCAAACATATGAACATATCAAATGAACAAGAAAGCAAAGAAACAAGGGTGGTATTACGTTTTTTTTTTTTTTTCTTCTTCCAGGACGGTGGCGTGACAAAGTCTCTAATGCGGCAACAGTAACTGCTTTTGTAAACGACCTCCTCGTTGTTCGCAGCCATGCTGTTTGTGCAAGCAGTTCACACACGCTTTAAACTACAGATGCTCCCCGAATAAATTCGAATGAATCGATTAACCACATGCATTGCCCAGCCGTACCCCTCTGACCACAAAGATATAAATATTTTTTTCAACCTTGAAAACAACATTTTGAATATATGCTTTCTTGTTTTACTCTTTGTGCTGCTATTCTTCATTTTGTCCCCCAAACGCATCTGTCGGATGACACAGGATGAGGTAGAAAAATCTTTTAAAAGTACACCCGTGACAGCCTTCTCTTTGTAATGATTATAATCAGGCATTTATAACCACAGTAATCCTGGTTTTTATAGCGGTCGTGCTGTATTGGAGGTGACAAGGCTGGGCAATTTCGATGATGAACACCAACGTCATGTTAAGTATCGCATTATCACAAGGACAGCTGCACACACAGACACGGGCACACTCGAGCTAAGAGCGATGAGAGTTTTTTTGGTGGGGACGGGGATTGTTGTGCAATTGCACAAAAGCTATTCATGTGCGCATGTGTGCGGCTGGTGCGTGGCGTGCACCCCGTGTTGTCAGGCGCTCTTCATGTTTGAGTGGGAATGTCACTGCATGCAGATGGCACCCGTATTTTTTTTTTCTTTAGCATTGTTATTGGAATCGACTTGTTATTTGCACAAAGTGGGAGTGGGAGAAGACAGCTGTTGGTGAGCGAGGAATGGGAGTCAATGAAGAAAAGTGAGGAGGAGAGCAAAAGAGAAGGCTGGAAGGGTCATCGCAGAGCCAACTTTTGTTCATTACTCAAATATGAACTATGTCTGTGGGTGTTAAACCAGGTGTGAAAACACAGCAGAGAAGGCAATAAATAAGTCTTGGAGCTGAAAAAGTTTGCAAAGACAGAAGGCCTTTGAGAATTTTTTTTTTTTTAGGGTTTGTTTTAGTGCGGCTAGTAATGTTGAGTGAAGAAGGGTTTTTTTTGTCTTCAGGCAGGAAAAATCTTGATATGCATCTGTTTAAATCTATGATTGGGTTTCTTATGACGATCCAAATGAAAAGACTCAGAGATGAACACTCAACAGTGTCTCATTTACGGCATGCCGCGTACTAGTAGTTCCAAGCCGTCCCAACAAATATCGCACGCAAATCTGAACAAGGGGCAAACGGGTCAGAATTGCTTTTTCATTTGATTCTTAAGAATTTTGGGGGGGGGCGGGGTAGAATATTGCTGATCCGGATTTTATACATAAAATGTGCTTGCATGTAAGATGTGGGCAGCGCAGTGGGCAAGTGGGTCTAGGTGTGCGATTTGAATGTTGTTTGAATGCTTTACCCTTTTGCACGTTTTCCACCATGCTTGTATGTTTTCTCTGGGTATTGCTTTTTTTAGATTTCTGATTTCTTGATTTGGATCCAAAAAAAGAAAAAGTGAGTTTCCTGACTATGTACCAGGTACAGACCACTAAGAAGAAGCAACCCTGTGTTTCCATGGCAATCGATGATATATTTTTTTCATATTGAAGAAACGTTAAATGCACTGCTCTTGCTATCCAAAAGGTGGTACATGTTGCTGCCTTTCGTGTAAAAACTGTGCCGGACATAGCAAGCGAGTGTCCTGTGGTCCCATTGAACACCAGTTACATGAATTGCAAAATACATTTGATAAAATCACCCACATTTGATTTCCTTCGAAGGATGAGCAGACATTGAACCTGTCACCGTCTCACTCTTTTAGGACATTTGAGCCTGTCCTCAACTCTCCCCGATGCTCCTTCTTTCCTCAGGTTTGCTCTCTAAAGGTCCATGATGTCCATGAATATTTCAATAAACTGCATTCTCAGGTTATCAATAATAGAATGCCATTTTCATATAAATATTCTAAAAATACAGCTGGACTCTGCCTCTTCTGTGGTTCATTAAACATTTACGGACACCTAGCAAACTGTGAAATCTCCCACCCTTGCTCACCCATATAGACGAGGACGGGGGGACTATGTGCCCATGTTTCCTTTCGAGACTTCCATATTTCACGTTTATGGTGTTAGTGTGTATATTTGATTTGCCCAGATTCACACCATGTCACGGGACAGGAGCTCAGGTCAGTGCTAAAATGAGCAAAGTGCTTGGCATTGTAAACGGTCTGTATCAGTCGACCTGAGAACACATCCTGTCACTGCTCTGCCCGGATGACTCACTACCTGGGACCATTTGATGCGGTTGTGTGTATTATTGCCTGTCTCTGGTGATGCTGCAGTTAGAAAAAAGTTTTCTTTTGAAGGTGAATTGTTTTTGATTGATTGACGTTTGAAGTTTCAAACTTGCGCTCGTAAAACAGGAACCGAAAAAGCAAGGACAAACCAAAAATCTGCAATATAAATCCCACGAATGAAAACGACACGTATGCTCGTGAGCAATATATTTGATTCTTGTAGGTACAATTCACCATAAACTGGAGGCCTGGCAGTTCAAGAGTTCTCATGATTATGAAACTGGAAGTGTCATACTGTGTGAGTTCAATGCCCAAAGAAGCCGAAGCCTTTTATATGCAGCCGGTTGCGGATCTTGTCTAAAATACACATGAAATTTGAACAAAGGATCCAGGTTGCTCCACTGCATCCACACACACACACACACACACACACACACACACACACACACACACACACACA